TCGAAGAACATCTGTTACCCATTCCGCAATATTTTCGTCAGTGTGCCTTGGCGTGAACTCTGAGCACTCCAGTAGGCGCGATGTCAAGATACCATTATTATTAATAAATTGTGCGGCAAGTGTGTAAAATCCAGTGGTTTGTGATGTTGGTCCAACCATCGCAGGTTAGACATATGGCAGGAGCATCAACCAACTCAAATATCACTTTTTCCAGCAACTTAATATAAACAGCTGGTAGCAAGCCATTGGACAACATTTTCGTACTTTGAAATGTATTATACACTTACTCCTATAATAGGAGGGAGCTGTACGAACTTCTTGAATTCCGGATCCTCAACAAAAGAAAATGGATGAAACCCTTTGCAGATCATTTTCAAAAGCTGAATTCTTTGGTGCAAGCAATGTAAATATTTACCTTATTTGACAAAACCCATACTCTTAGCTACGATTACCTAAAATGATCGGTAAAAAGTTATCGGTATTTTTTACCGATAAAAATCGTTACTTTTTACTTTAAATAGGCTATTTTTTACTATAAATTAGGTAATATTTAACCTTAATTATTGGTAATCCATGATTACCGATAATTTAAGTATGTGCACTTTCTTCGATTATCAGTAATTTCTACCGATATTTAGGCATTCTTTACCACGCCTTTCAAACATCTTACCTCCTTCGAAATATAATCCAATTGATCAGGCAACTACGATGATAAATTATTTTCGTCTAAATTCAGACTGTTTATTGTTTTACTATTTCAAGCAATGTAGAGAAATACTGATTCGAGAGGATGCGGTTGCAAGTTTTCATTATAATTATTGTCATTCATAGCAAGAATATGGAAAGCAGAGTCGACAATAGAATAGTTACGCAAACTGAAACCAAAATCTACCTATAGAACTGTCAAACCGTCTACCTATCGCGCATAGTAGACAAACTGACTCTGTTGCGTAGGAAGTATTGTTATCGAAACTATAGGAAACTTTCACAACCCAGGTGAAGTCATCCCAGGTGTAAACAAAAACCGAGGGGGACGACTCTATCTACGATGCAGAAAAGATTGTGTTTTGCTGTGACTAGCTGTGCGCACGCTGAGTAGACAGAAAGAAGATTGATGACGATTCTGAAGATTTCCTGCAAAAAGATGCTGCACGATGCAAGTAGATGCGCCAAATAAAAGAAGATTTTTCGAAGATTGATTCGCTGGTGTGTGATTTGTTGAGCATCTAAACTTGAGATTTAGATGTGTCGCCCCCCTCGACAAAAACAAAGGTTGCCAAAAAAAATATGAACAATGATCGACATCAGTGTTGCAAGCTTCACTCTGCGTAACTCTTATATTATCAATTCTGATGGAAAGTAGGGGAAATGGCTCTAATGTTGGCCTATGGATCTAAGATTGGGCCCATCGCTAAAAATCTGCTATGTATCAATTTTATCTATATGAACGCGTCATTGGGACGGTACTAATGGATATTTTCGATCGCTATTGAAAATTTAGTCGATTGCTGAATTTATGTATGGGCCCAAATTAGGGGCATTTAGGCCGGCATTACATCCATTTCCCCTATACACAGAAAAGCATTGAAAACACATGTTCAGAGCAAGAGCGAGAACGGAAAACGCTTGTCTATTTCAGTGCCAACATTTCAAAGGGGCGTAATTGCATTTGTAAACAATGGCTTTAGCCGTCGATTTCTCGCAAATAAAAGCTCACTCATGAAAAATAATGACACCAACTGGTAGATGAATATTACCTCTACCAGTTAGCATGGTAGTTTTGCTAGCCAAAGTTTTGGCAAATATTTGTTGCAGAACCATAGGATATTTTTAGTTTCCCAAGTCAGTAGTTCTCTTTCACACAGCCCAGTGGCATTTCGCGCAGACATCATGTTATACCGTTACAGCAGGCCCAGAACAGCAAAATAAATTATTTGAGCCCGGGACATGCTGCCTACTGTCAAACGCTGCTGTTAGTATAGGCCTTGTCACTGGCCTGCTTTCACACATTGGAATGCAGTCCAATTGATACACTGCAGAGCAGAATCCATCACATGACATCCAATTTATATTTTTACGCCTGACGGCTACTGTGCACTTACCACATTGTTCATCAACTATTGTGATAGGTTGATGTCGCTCCAAGCAGACGAAAGGCAGTTAGAAAACCGTAAACCGTTTTATGCTGCTGCTGGATATTAAACAATGTATCAATTATGCAATTATCCACGACCCATACAAACATTAAAAATTGTGTATGAACAATTGGGTTCTTTAATTTTGAAAAATTAATCGATTCTTATATATCATCTGAAAGAACTTCGTTTTCTGAGCACATCGATATTTTTTTTTCGAACCCACACATTCGATTTTTAAATCAAGATTTAAAGCAAAATAATAAATTCACTGTTTGACACTAAACTGACAAACTGACAGCTCGCTCCCATACAAAGTAACACCGAGGGGCGTTAATAAGGTGATTTCTGCAAATGTAATCGCACTTATTTAAATTAGTTCCAGTGTATCAAAATTGATGAAAGAACCCAATTGTCTACGCAGGGGGAGGGGTCTGTCTAATAAATTATGTACAGTCCCAAATTTGAAATCGACTGTTAAGCAAGGACATTCTTTCATCATTATTGGTGTTGAATCTAGGAACCAAACCAATGTTTTTGCAAAATATTATAGATTAACTTCAAAAATTTGTCTCCAAAATCATTTTCCACGAATACACCATTTATAGGAACCTCCAAAAGTTCAGCAAACTTAGACGTATCTTTACGATCATTGTTGATATTCACGGATTTTCAGTGAGATATTGCATAGGTCCTCTGAATGTTTTAGAACTCTTGAAAAATGAAACATTTCAAATGATGTTCATCAGATATTCATTCAAGATCATGAAGTATTTGAAAGATTTCCAGCTAATCTAAGATTTCAATAAAGTTCTATGGATATTTTTTTAATACTACAAGTTGTTGGAAGTATTATTCTGAAAAATTTCAACTGTTCGGACATTTAAGTGACGTCTCCATGTATTCTAGCTAAAATGATGGTAGGGTAGATACCTATTATCATGGGATTTTTTTTTGAAAAATCGCAGCTGATCATAAATTTGGTTCATTTATGAAGACTTCAGACTTTCAAAAGCTTAAATGGCGTGCTCCGATGTTCGCCTATGACGGCAGGTTGATCAGGAAGTATATCCAGCTGATCGAGGGTTTTAAGAAATCTCCTCAAATTGTCTTGGAATTCTCTTGAAACACTCCTTAGTATTTCCTTGAAAATTTCTGGGGATTCTCTTTGAGCACTAGTCATAGTTGCTTTGGAAATATGCTCAAAAAATGTTTAGTCCCTGCTGGAAACTCCTTGAAAATCCCTGAAAAATCTTATAAATTCTCTTAGGAATTATCTTGAAACAATGAATTTAGCAAGTTATTTTGCAAAGAATTGTATGAGCTATTTTACAAAATTAGATTTCCATGGAATTATTATCCATATTTGCCTACATCTCCATCAAAAAATATATCTTGGATTGATTGATTGATCAACATTTAAGAGAATTTTACTCGAAAAAAGATCATTAGGCGTAGTTTCAGGGTTGTAGTCATGCAGTCAGATTTGCCGTAGGATTAATTCAATTTGAAGGAAAGAAATTCCTTCCGACTTGCTTTGAAGTTCTCTAGAATTAAAATCATAATCCCCATAGTATTATCTTCAGAACTTTCTTAAAACTCACCTTTACTTAGAAATTTAATGAGAAACTACTAAAAACTATCTGAAATTTCTAGTTAAATTCCGTTGGAATTCTCCCCAGAGTTGCTTTAGAATTATCCCTAGATTTCCTCTACAGCTATCCTCAAAGCTCATTTGGCATTCTCATCATAATTATCTTGCCAATGCTTCACAGTGTCAGAATCCTAAAATGTTATCCTCCAAAAGTCAAGATTTATTTATTTTTAATTTTTTAATTTTGAAATGCAATCTTCAGCCTGAGTATTCAAATGTTCGTAGATCTAATTGTTTTCTAAAATAATGTCCATGTGCTTCGGAGTGGTTCAAGCTCTTCAGATGAGTTCCTTTTTTTTTTTTTTAAATCTTTATTTTAGAGATTTTTAGCCTGAGGCTAGTTCATCTCTTCAGATGAGTTCCGATAACTTTAGGGAACTTCCAAATGTTTCAAAAATTTGACCAAAGTTCCATCATCTTCAGATAAGCTCTGAGATTTTCGGAGCTTATCTTCTAAGAAGTTCAAGTACTTGAGATAATCTCCAAGAGCTTCAGCAAAATCCCAACAAAATTAGCAATGTTCCAAAAACTAGATAAAACCTGTAAAAAGGCTTCACTAAGTTTAAAAGTAGGTGTTGGCTCGCATAAGAGCGTCAAAGCCAATCAGAAAAAGTAGGAACTTCAGCTGTGTATGTATCGGTATCATGCATAGAAATTGATTCCTATGTACCTATAAATCACTTTAATTTATTAATATATTATTCCGAAGATTTGCATCAAGTTAAAAAATACTAAGTACCATTCTATTTTTTTACCAAGAAAATGTATCTCAATTATTCTGGGATTTAAAACAATTCTGAAACGGTTTAATGAAACATTCAGATCTTGCAAAACTTCTCACGAATTCCATGAAAATGTAATCATTACCCTTGACAATCTTGATTGAATCTCATATTCTTATCCCGATAAATGCATGCTTACTTTTTCCACAACGCAAACCATACTAGCGTGCAGAAACGAAACGAATGCCATATTTGAATGCAATATATAGAATCGATGAGTTTATTTAATGCTCTAGAGATAAAGCAACGCAGAATCTGATTTTTTTTAAAGTATATATTATTATTTGCGCCTACCTTATTGAAGATCTGATTAGCATCAATTCGCAGAACAAGAAAACACAAACAAACAAAAAGAGGAAATCGTACCCATCACACAGAAAATGAAACCATATTTTGAGGCATTCTCGAACGAGTAAAACCCAATATGCAAAATCAAATTACAACAAACTGTAATACATGTTATTATTTTACTCAATAATTCAACGCGCGGTATTCATCCGAAAATCCCTACCAGTGGGCATCGAGCGCGTCAACGACCCGTTTCACGATGTTGGCATGGCTGGCGTACAACTTTACCCCCGAGTCGACGTCCATCCACTTGACCTTGGCCGCATCATCTCCGGCATGCAGATTGAACCTTCCCACGACTGACCCGTCCTCGTCGTGGAAGTTCACCGCCACCGTTTCCATCCATGCGTTGTCCGTGTTCCTCGGATCGTCCACGTAGCCTTTGTAGATTTCCTTCCCGGCACTGAAGAATTGTTCAACATCTTCCGTGCCGCTGCTAGTGCTCATGGCTTCCTCCATGAATTCCCGTTTCAAAGTGGCACTTACCTTCTCCCCTGGGTCCACCATCCCCCCGGGGATGGCCCATTCCCCGCAGTCATGCCTCTCGATGGCACACATCTGGAGCACTCTTCTACCCGTATCTTCACTCACCACCACCGTCCCATCGCCATCGACCTTCCACTTGGTCACCACCGGATCAGCCGCATGGTTCGGTCCCCATCGTCCCAGCAATCCCCTGCCTCTCAATCCGGTCCGACCGAACAAGTTCATCGGAAATCCATCCCGAATTTCATACGCTCCGACGAAGCTCACCCGGTTCACACCGCCATCCAGCTGATTCCATTTGACCTCGAAGTTGGGATCGTCTGTTTCGCAACCGAAAAATAAACAAAACCTCGATTACATTCCCGTCCCAAGCATAGAATCGAAACAAACAAAAAATATAGGTCAAGTTCAACTTACCGACATCCAGATCGGCCCACTCCTTGTCCTTGAGGACAGCCGCTTCGTACAGCGGCGGTTGATAGTCCGGATACGGTTGGGACCAGAAGACACTCTCGTCCGGCACCGGATAACGGCGGACATCGCTGCTCGGATACACGTTATTCCGGCAGCGATGGTGCTTGTAGATTCCCGGAATCATAGCCATTATCGGAGGGACGATGGCACGCGTTAAACCGACCATACGATTACAGCAGCTGATGTTACATAAGGGTGGAAAGATCGATAGCACGGTAAATAAGGCCACGGCACTGCCCCTGGTGCCAGGCAACCGAATCGACGGAATATCCGTGAATGTCTGTTAGGTGTTGGGATTGTTGACGAGAAGGACGTATGAGTTTGTGGGTATGTGGTAAATAGCTACTAGCTAGTTGCATAAACAATCAATAATTCTTCTTACCTTTTCGATGTTGTGTTGCACTCTTCCAAGTATTGAGCTATATTCTACTTGTAACACATTTTTTTTTTAGTTTTATGTTATTTGAAACGATTAGAACAACGAACGAACTACCTACATGATATTTATTTTTGTTTACCATTCATTATTAGTAAACAACATCTGTAGCATTTTTTTAACAGATTCTCTCTCGTTCTCTCTTCTCTTCATAAGTTGAAGTCTGGAGTTATTCGAGATGAGGGCGTAACTGTTTTTTTTGTAAGCATTGACATCAATCGCCGATTTCTTACAATGCTCAATATAGCAAACTAGCAACACAATCAGGTGATTGTGCTACATTACCTCGAATGTGTAAAGAACGAGCAACAATCAAAAGAAGGCAAAATCTTATTCGGGGAAATGGCGTTCAGGGAAGTTTTTTTTTTTCCTTTTGGTTTGTTTTTTTTCGTCGATTTTGTTTTCCGTGCTGAGCACCAATGCTACCGACGTGCCAGGAAGGCAGCTCCCACACCTGGACCCTACCTATCGACCCATCAACTCATGAACCGGGGACCAACGGCTTTACTTCCCATCCGAAGGAAGGCGTGATCAGAGATGATGATCAGAACATCCCGACGGCGCCGACTGGGATTGAACCCAGGCTTGCTGAGGTGAGAGGTAATCACGCTTACCACTACACCACCGGCGCCGTTGTTCAGGGAAGTTCACGCAGAAAAATCTATCGTCGAAACAAACATAGGGGAAATGTATGTAATGTCGACCTAAGTGTCCCTAATTTGGGCCCATACATAAATTCAGCAATCGACTAACATTTTCAATAGCACCCAAAAATATCCATAAGTACCGTCCCAATGACGCGTTCATCAAGATACAATTGATAAATAGCAGATTTTTAGCGATGGGCCCAATCTTAGATTCATAGGCCAACATTAGAGCCATTTCCCCTATTTGAGGTAAATTTAAATGTAAACTCAGTTTTTTTTCTGACCACAAAAATAAACTAGATTGATTTCAAATGTATTCCATGTTAGAAGTCATGCGAATCAATGTTTAAAATATTTTTTTCCCTTGAGGTACATATTTAAAACGCTGTACAGGTTGAAGAGTTATAATATGCGAGATAATATGTTATAACGGTTGTCAAATAATTGCAACACAGAAACCACCATCAAGATAGCGCTATAAAATGTTATAACTCTGTAGTCTGAACGTACTAGATACAGGAAAATTTTCGCTTTGCTGTTGTGAGATGCGTGCACGCTTATAGTAGATAGAAGATTGATGAATATTTTGAAGATTTCATGGAAAAAATTGGAGAGCGATGAAAGTAGATAGATTTAAATGCAAGAGATGAGAAAAGATTTTTCGTAGATTGATTCATTAACGTGAGTTTTTCCGACCATCTTGAATTGAGACTGAGATGTGTCGCATCCCCAGGATCCATTGTGGAACAGCTAAGCACGTGCACTGTGTTATTTCGTATTTTACGAGGTGACAACGTTTTTGAAGTAGAAATTCATCAAGAAACCACAGACAAACCGACATAACACATTGAATATTTCTCACTGTAAAACATCGTCGCTAAAACATGATGGGATATTATTCCGTGAATTCACCGACTACTCAAAAAACCAGTCTGGATCCAACGGCAATCCACTGACAAATACTTAAGGCTCTATCATGTGGACGGTGGAAACCCTAGGGTTAGCACCATTATCAATAATCATTCTTTGCGACATTCTGTGGACGGTGGAAACCCTAGGGTTTCCACCAGAGGTGAGTATCTGTACCATTCACCAAATATTCCCGCGCCAAATATTATTATTATTATTTAGCTTTATTTAGGAGGCTTTCAGCCTTAGGCTGGTTCGCCTCCACCACGCGCCAAATATTTCCATGTTGCAGAACACGACCCGTGACGCTAGTCGTTTATGGGTTTATTACCAAAACGTACGTGGACTGCGCACCAAGATCGACGACTTTTACTGCAACGTCCTGGAGTGCAATTTTGACGTCATTATTTTAATCGAGACGGGGTTTAACGAGGCTATCAATTCGACGCAGCTTTTCGGAAGCAACTACAATGTGCACCGATGTGACCGAAGCCATATAAACAGCAGCAAATATCGTTTCGGAGGGGTTCCAATTGCCGTACATCATCGTTTCATCAGTAGCAGTGTCGTTGCAACGAGCGGAGAAACGATAAAACAAGTGTGTGTATCGACGAGGATTGGATCCAAGCGACTATTGCTGTGTGCAATTTACGTTCCTCCAGACAAGAGCAAGGATCTCAGCGTTTTGAATGGGCATATTGAATCGATCCAAGAGCTTTGTAACAGTGGCTCTGACAGCGATTGCTTGCTGGTATGCGGTGACTACAATCAACCTGGGATATCCTGGAGTTGGGCTGATGGCGAGATTCGACCTGTGAACTCTGTTCCTTTACCAGTTGCTAGCTCATTCTTGATTGATGGCATGGATTTCCACAACCTGCATCAGAGAAATCTCGAGCGCAACCACTTAGGACGCATCCTGGATTTGTTCTTTTGCCATACGGATATGCGAGTGATGAGCTTGCGTTAGACTATAGCAAGATTGATTTCGATGTTCTAATGGACTTCCTTTCCGTCACTGACTGGGATCTTCTTTTCGATGGACTGAATGCTGATGAAATGGCTGAAACGTTGTGTGCTGTGCTAAATAATTGGATGGATACAAACGTACCGATTCGTCGGCCTGCTGTTTCTCCTGCGTGGAGCACCGCTTTGCTACGAAAACTAAAACGAAAAAGAAATGCTTCGCAACGTAGACTTCGGCGATACCGTTCCCTGGCAAATAAGCGTAGTTTTCACTTGGCGTGTAACGAGTACCGTAATCTAAACTCTTCGCTCTACAAATCGTACGTTTTACGAGTGCAAACTAATTTAAGGCGAAACCCCAAGAGCTTTTGGAGCTATGTAAACTCGAAGAGGAAAAATTCAACAATGCCTGCAGCGTTTTTTTCAATGACGTTGAATCGTCGATAGGCGGGGAGAAATGTGAGCTTTTTGCTGCTCATTTTTCGTCGGTATTTGCCGCAGAATCCATCCCCTCGACTAAACTTGTCTCGGCTGTTTCGGATGTGCCTTCAAACCTTGTTGACATAAACACTTTTGAAATAACGCCCGTTATGGTAACTAATGCCGCCAAGAAAATGAAATGTACCTTCTCGCCTGGACCAGATGGCATTCCTTCTGCAGTGTATTGTCGTACCATTGGAGCGCTTGTTGAACCGCTTTGCAGAATCTTCAACAAATCTTTTGTAGAGTCGAAATTTCCTGCAATCTGGAAAGAGTCATTTATGGTTCCGGTACACAAGAAAGGAGATAAACGTGACGTTAAAAACTACAGAGGAATTACTAATCTCTCTGCAGCATCAAAACTGTTTGAGATAATTGTGAGTGGTTTCATTCTTGAGCACACCAAATGCTATATCTCTAGTGACCAACATGGCTTCATGCCTGGACGATCGGTTACCACAAATCTTCTAGATTTTACCACGACATGTTTTGAGCAAGTGGAAAATGGGGCACAAATAGACGTCATCTACACTGATCTAAAAGCAGCGTTTGATACGATCAACCATGACATTATGTTGGCAAAGCTATCCAAACTCGGTGCGTCGGACCGTTTGACTTCGTGGTTGTGCTCCTACTTGACTGACAGGTCTCTGCGAGTGAAACTCGATTCCAGTACTTCCTCGTATTTCACGAACTCGTCAGGGGTAGCAATCTTGGCCCGTTGCTGTTTGTGTTGTACATCAACGACGCACTTCTTCTACTTGGAGATGGCTGTAAGCTTGCGTATGCCGATGACCTAAAGCTGTACTTCGTGGTGCGGACTGCTGAGGATTGCATTCGTCTTCAATCGGTATTGGATCTGTTCGTTGATTGGTGTCGTCGGAATAAGCTTACCCTCAGCATTCCTAAATGTATGGTAATGTCGTATTACCGCATCAGGCAGCCGATTGTTTTTGACTATGCCATCAACGGTGTGGTTCTTCAAAGAACCGACCAGTTCAGCGATCTTGGTGTTCTACTGGACCATAAGTTGACCTCCACCGCTCTGCTCTGATCACAAAGGCGAATCGCCAGCTAGGTTTTGTGTTGAAAATATCGAAGGACTTCATTGACCCACACTGCCTGAAAGCTCTCTATTTCTCACTTGTGCGACCAATCCTGGAAAATGCCTCCTTGGTCTGGTTTCCTCATCAGTTGACTTGGAGCTTGAGGATCGAAAGTGTTCAGCGCAAGTTTATCAGGATAGCATTACGTAATCTACCATGGCGTGATCCGCAAAATCTCCCGCCGTATTCTGATCGCTGCAATCTGCTGAGCTTGGATACTCTGGAATGCCGACAGAAAAATCAGCAAGCAGTTTTTGTTGCCAAGCTATTGAATGGTGAGGTCGACTGCTCGAGGCTTCTCTCGCTGTTGGATATCCGAGTACCACCGAGAACATTACGAAGTGGTACCCTTCTCCAACCGCGGTACCATCGAACGGCGTTCGGTTACAACGAAGCACTAACAACTATGATGCGTACGTTTACGGCTGTCGAAGAATTATTCGAATTTGGGGAATCTTCATCTCGCTTTTTGGCACGGATTAGAAACACTTGAATTGTTTTAGCTTTAAGGTTGTTTCATGTAGACAATAGTCCGATGAATAAAATTAAATAATAATAATAATAATAACAATAACAATAATAATAATTACCCCCATCTGTTGTGTACACTATGGTCGGTAGTACGCAGAACAGATGGCAGTAGTGTGTAATCGTCAAACGCAAGGAAATTGACTATGTGCTCCACAGAAGGCGGTACTACCAACTTCTATACTTTTAAATTTACCGTTCAATCGAAGCCAACAAATCAAGAAGACTGGCAACTCTTCCATTTTCTCATACGAACGCTATGAGACAGGTACAATCACGTCATCTGCCGCTCAAAGGTAAATGCTTCGAACGAATTTGATAGCAAAGATTACATCCTCAGAAGAAGGGTTTGCGTATTTGCTAATTTTTCTATGCCTTGCTTCCACATTCACTCAAGCG